GGCAGGATGGCCATTTTGACGATATTAATTCTTCCTAGCCATGAGCATGGGATGAGTTTCCATTTATTAGTGTCCCCTTTAATTTCTCTTAAGAGTGACTTGTAGTTTTCAGAGTATAAGTCTTTCACTTCTTTGGTTAGGTTTATTCCTAGGTATTTTATTCTTTTTGATGCAATGGTGAATGGAATTGTTTTCCTGATTTCTCTTTCTATTGATTCGTTGTTAGTGTATAGGAAAGCTACAGATTTCTGTGTGTTAATTTTGTATCCTGCAACTTTGCTGTATTCCGATATCAGTTCTAGTAGTTTTGGAGTGGAGTCTTTAGGGTTTTTTATGTACAGTATCATATCATCTGCAAATAGTGACAGTTTAACTTCTTCTTTACCAATCTGGATTCCTTGTATTTCTTTGTTTTGTCTGATTGCCGTGGCTAGGACCTCCAGTACTATGTTGAATAACAGTGGGGAGAGTGGGTATCCCTGTCTTGTTCCCGATCTTAGAGGAAGTGCTTTCAGCTTCTCACTGTTCAGTATGATGTTGGCTATGGGTTTACTTATATGGCCTTTATTATGTTGAAGTACTTGCCCTCTATACCCATTTTGCTGAGAGGTTTTATCATGAATGGATGTTGAATTTTTGTTGAATGCTTTTTCAGCATCTATGGAGATGATCGTGTGATTTTTGTCCTTCTTTTTGTTGATGTGGTGGATGATGATGGATTTTCAAATGTTGTACCATCCTTGCATCCCTGAGATGAATCCCACTTGATCATGGTGTGTGATCCTCTTGATGTTCTTTTGAATTCGGTTTGCTAATATTTTGTTGAGTGTTTTTGCATCTGTGTTCATCAGGGATATTGGTCTGTAATTTTCTTTTTTGGTGGGGTCTTTGCCTGATTTTGGCATTAGGGTGATGTTGGCTTCATAGAATGAGTCTGGAAGTATTGCCTCTTCTTCTATTTTTTGGAAAACTTTAAGGAGAATGGGTATTATGTCTTCCCTGTATGTCTGATAAAACTGCAGTAAATCCATCTGGCCTGGGAGTTTTGCTCTTGGGTAGTTTTTTTATTACCACTTCAATTTCTTTGCTGGTAATTGGTCTGTTTAGTTTTTCTGTTTCTTCCTTGGTCAGTCTTGGAAGGTTGTATTTTTCTAGGAAGTTGTCCATTTCTTCTAGGTTTTCCAGCTTGTTAGCATATAGATTTTTGTACTATTCTCTAATAATTCTTTGTATTTCTGCGGGGTCTCTCATGATTTTTCCTTTCCCGTTTCTGATTCTGTTGATGTTTGTAGATTCTCTTTTTCTTTTTATAAGTCTGGCTAGGGACTTATCTGTTTTGTTTATTTTCTCAAAGAACCAGCTCTTGGTTTCATTGATTTTTTTCTATTGTTTTTTTCTTCTCAATTTTATTTATTTCTTCTTTATTATGTCCCTCCTTCTGCTGACTTTAGGCCTCATTTTTTCTTTTTTTTCCAATTTTGATTATTGTGTCTTTAGACTATTCATTTGGGATTATTCTTCCTCCTTTAAATATGCCTGTATTGCTATCTACTTTCCTCTTAAAACTGCTTTCGCTGCATCCCACAGAAGTTGGGGCTTTGTGTTGTCATTGTCATTTGTTTCTGTGTATTGCTTGATCTCTATTTTGATTTGGTCATTGATCCATTGATTATTTAGGAGCATGTTGTTAAGCCTCCATGTGTTTGTGAGCCTTTTTGCTTTCTTTGTACAATTTATTTCTAGTTTTATACCTTTGTGGTCTGAGAAGTTGGTTGGTAGAATTTCAATCTTTTTGAATCTACTGAGGCTCTTTTTGTGGCATAGTATGTGGTCTATTCTGGAGAATGTTCAGTGTGCACTTGAGAAGAATGTGTATCGTGTTGCTTCTGTATGTAGAGTTCTGTAGATGTCTATTAGGTCCATCTGTTCTAGTGTGTTGTTCAGTGCCTCTGTGTCCTTACTTATTTTCTGTCTGGTGGATCTATGCTTTGGAGTGAGTGGTGTGTTGAAGTCTCCTAAAATGAATGCATTGCATTTATTTCCTCCTTTAATTCTCTTAGTATTTGTTTCACATATGTTGGTACTCCTGTATTGGGTGCATATATATTTATAATGGTTATATCCTCTTGTTGGATTGACCCCTTTATCACTATAATGTCCTTCTTTATCTCTTGTGACTTTCTTTGTTTTGAAGTCTATTTTGTCTGATACAAGTACTGCAACACCTGCTTTTTTCTCCCTGTTGTTTGCATGGAATATCTTTCCATCCCTTGACTTTTAGTCTGTGCATGTCTTTGGGTTTGAGGTGAATCTCTTGTAAGCAGCATATAGATGGGTCGTGCTTTTTTATCCATTCTATTACTCTGTGTCTTTTGATTGGTACATTCAGTCCAATTAATTTGGAGTGATTATTGAAAGATACCTACTTGTTGCCATTGCAGGCTTTAGATTTGTGGTTACCAGAGGTTCAAGGTTAGCTCCTTTACTGTCTTACTGACTAACTTAACTCACTTATTCACTATTATAAACACAGTCTGATGATTCTTTATTTCTCTCCCTTCTTATTCCTCCTCTTCCATTCTTTGTATGTTAGGTGTTTTGTGTGTGTGTGTGCTCTTTTGTTTCCTTTGATTGCTTTTGTGGGTAGTTGATTTTATTTTTTGCCTTGAGTTAGTATTTGATTGTTCCACTTTCTTTGCTGTGATTTTATTTCCTCTGGTGACATCTGTTTAGCCTTAGGAGTGCTTCCATCTAGAGCAGTTCAATTTTGATTGGTCACACAGTTCTCTTAATATTCTTTCACTCCTGCAGATCCTTTTGTCTCTCTCTGCATCAGCTTCTCTATGTTCCTGTTCTCTGATTTCTATTCCATTAATGACCTCTTGCATCTCGTCATTCTGCTTTTAAGTCCTTCCAGAGATTGTTTTATTTCTGTATTCTCCCTCCTTAGCTCTTCCATATTTCTCTGCAAGTCCATCAGCATGGTTATGACCTTTATTTTGAATTCTTTTTCAGGAAGATTGGTTAAATCTATCTCCCCAGATTCCCTGTCTGGGGAGGATGTCTGAGTTAGTCTGGTCGGTATCAAATTCTTCTGCCTTTTCATGGCGATAGAGGTAGTCATAGGCAGTTGGCACGTGTGTCAACTGGGAGAACCAAGTTCATTTTCACTAGCTCCTGGCCTTCCTTTCCTGGGAGAACGGTGACCCCTAGCAGCTTGAGCTGGGCAGTTGTGCGCAGACAGGGTCTCTGATTCTTGCCCAGCCACTGTGGAGTAAGCTCCATGCAGTTGCTGTGGGCGTGGCCAGCCTCAGGTTGCTGCTGTGCTATGGCAGGGCCTTACCGGAGGGGGAACGGGCGGGAGGCTGTTTATCGCCGTGAGGGGCCTCAGCCGTGAGCAGCCCTGCTGCTGTGGGGGTTAGTGCACCCGGAGTTCCCCAGGATTCCCAGCTGCTGGTCTACGTGTGCCGGGACGCTTCTGTCCAGCTGTTAGGCACCTGTCCCTTTAAGACTTTCAAAAAGCACTCTCTTTTCTTTTGTCCCAGCGGCACCAGCTGTGGTTCACGCTCACAGGTTTTACCGTTCCGTTTCCCTAGTATCCAGCACACCATGCACTGTATGTCTGCCCTCCCAGTGAAGATGACTAGAGCTGGGTATTTAGCAGTCCTGGGCTCCTTCTCCCTCCAGGCTCCGACTCCTCTCTTCCCACCAGGAGCTGGGGTGAGGGGCACACTCAGGTCCCGCTGGGCCGCGGCTTTTATCTTACTCCCTTCGTGAGGTGCTGAGTTCTCGCAGGTGTAGATGTAGCCTGGCTGTTGTCCTGTATCTTCTGGTCTCTCTTTTAGGGATAGTTGTATTTATTGTATTTTCAAAAATATATATGTTTGTGGGAGGAGATTTCTGCTCTCCTACTCACGCCTCCATCTTGGCTCCTCCTCTCTCTTATTCTATTTTTATGAATAATGTCAAACATCTACAACAGCAGAGAGAAGATATAAGTAATTATCCTACAGCATATAATTTAAAAATTATTTCACTTTAAGTTAATACCAGTAAGGTAGTATTTGAGCTGATGTACTTTGTATTTACTGTCTTTATTCCCCCACACCACTTTTTGATAGTTGTAATGTTTCTAATAATCCAAGAACTTATATGCTTATCTTTCATCATATGATTTTTTAAATCTCTCATTTTTTAACAGCTAATAGAGAAGCTGATGTACTGTTTGAAGTATTATTTGATGAAGAATTTCCTGGAGGCTTAACAATAAGGTTTGTATAATCACAGTTTGTGAATGTCTGTGTGGCCAGTGACTTTACATTACTTTTCTGTCCACAATTTCGTTATGTGCAAGATGTCATATATGCTACTAGTGATGTAAGAGTGAGTAAGACAGACATGCTTTCTACCTTCATAGAGCTTTAATATTAGTGGGGAAGATAATTAAGTAACTGATTATAATATTGTTTAATTAAAATGTGACCTGGAGGTAAAAGACCTGTATTCTGAAAACTATAAGACACTGATGAAGGAAAATTGAAGAAAACACAAATAAATGGAAACTACCCCATGATCATGGATAGGAAAATTAATCCTGCTGAAATGGCCATCCTGCCCAAAGCAATTTGCAGATTCACTGCAATCCCTATCAAAATACCAGTGACATTTTTCAATGAACTTGACTAAATAATCCTAAAAATTTTACGGAACCACAGAAGATCCTGAATATCCAAAGTAATCTTGAGAAAGAAGAACAAAGCTGGGGGTGTCATACTCCCTGTCTTCAAGCTATATCACAAGGCTACAGTAATCAAAACAGTATGGTACTGGACCAAGAACAGACACATAGATAAATGGAATTGAATAGAGATCCCAGAAATAAACCCACACATATATGGACAATTAATATATGATAACAGAGGCATGTATATACAAGAGGAAATAGACAGTCTCTTCAATAAAATGGCATTGGGAACACTGGATAGTAACATGCTAGAGAATAAAACTGGGTTACTGTCTAATGCTATACACAAAAATAGTCAAAATGAATTAAAGACCTAAATATAAGACTTGAAACCATAAAACTCTTAGAAGAAAACATAGGCAAAAATCCCTTAAACATAAGCATGAGCAGTTTTTCTCTGGACACATCTCCCAGGGAAGGGAAACAAAAACAAATGTAAAGTAGGACTACGTGACAGTAAAAAGCTTCTGTACAGCAGAGGAAGCCATCCACAAAATGAAAAGCAACCTATGGTATGAGAGAATATATTCTCAAATGATATATCCAGTAAGGGGCTTACGTCTAAAATACCTAAGAAACTCATATGACTCAACACCAAAAAAATAAATAACCCAAGCAGAAAATGAACAGAAGACCTGAAGAGACATTTTTCCAGAGAAGACATACAGATGGCCAATAGGCACAACAAAAGATGCTCTACATCACTAATCATCAGGGAAATGCAAATCAAAACCACAAAGAGATACTACCTCACACAAGTCAGAATGGCCACTGTCCAAAAGAATAAGAAATAACAAGTGTTGGCAAGGATGTGGAGAAAAGGGAACTCTCCTATACTGTTGGTGGAAATGTAAATTGGTGCAGCCACTATGGAAAGCAGTATGGAGGTTCCTCAAAAAACTAAAGACAGAAATGCCATATGACCTAGTAATTCCACTTGTAGGAATTAACCCATAGAAAACAGAAATCTCTGATTCAAAAAGATACATGCACGCTTTTGTTTACTGCCACATTATTTACAATAGCCAAGATATGGAAACAACCAAAGTGTCCATCAACAGATGAACAGATAAAGAAGTGGTACATATGCACAGTGGAATATTATTCAGTCATAAAAAGAAAGAAATCCTGCCAGTTGTGACAACATGAATAGACTCAGAGGATATTATGCTAAGTGCAATAATCCAGACAGAAAGAGAAATACTGTATGAGTTCACCTACATGTGGAATCAAAACAAAACAGTTGTGGACTTATAGACACTGAGAAGTGACTGGTGGTTACCATGAGGGAGAGGTTTGGGGTGGGTGGGTGAAATAGATGAAGAGGATGAAGAAGATAAAGAAGCACAAAATCTCAATCGTGATATAAATTAGTCATGATGATGAAAGTACAGTATAAAGAATATAGTCAGTAGTTCTGTAACAAACATCTTGCTGTGTTGAAAGTAATGACACTAGTTGGGATGAACATTAAATAATGTAGTTCACTAATATAAATAAGAAATAATGATACTGAAAAAAACACAAAATGGTTTAAGGGTGTTAAGGCATTATGGTGGGAGCTTGTTCTCATATGTATGAAGGACAAATGGCTTTGTACCATCTTACAACATTTATACAACTGTGACATTGTTTCAAGTAAAAATTTTTTAAAATAAAACGTGACCAGGGGGGAGATTCAAGATGGCAGCATGAGAGATGAGACAGAGAACTACTCCCAAAACCATATATAGTACAAAAATATAGTTAATACAACTAACCTGGAACAGGAACAGGAGGAAAGGCAGCATACAGACCTCACGAACAGAGCAGACCTCACGAAGCAGGGTAACATACCAAAGCCTTGATCCAGTGGGACCCAGGCCGTTCCCCCACCCCAGCTCACTGGCAGGAGGAAGAGAAATGGAGCTGGGTGCGGGTAGAAGCCTAAGACTGCTGAACACCCAGACCTGGAGTGTTTTAGGGGTTGGGGAGCTGGGACAGGCAGAGTGCTTGAGATACAGATTCCAGCCATTTGTGAAGGAATGGGATCCACATCCAGCTGGTCTGGGACAAAGGAAAGTCAGGCAGTCTGGGAGGCTTCCTAACAGCAACAGGGCTGCTGAAGGGGCGGGCTTTGTACAGAACTTGCTGTGTGGGAGAAGGGATAGCTGAACAAGGTTGGGTGTGCTCTGCACAGGAAGTTGGGAACTCTCAGGATCTTCAGGTGCTCCATTCCGCTGGCTGGCTACTCAGCTCCGAGGGTCCCGCTGTGATACGCAGCCTGCTATGCCTTCCTCCTGGCCTGCAGGCACTGGCTTGCAAACTGGCAGTCTGCACTGCCATCAGGCCAGCCAGAGGGAGGGCCCGCCTACACACTTAGAGACGCAAAGCACAGAGGTTTACACCTGTGTGCTTGGCCGACTGGCTCTGATACTGGAGACAGACACCGCAGACGAGAATCAGGAAACATCTTGCTTCCCCCCAGGCACCAGCACCGCTCACCTACGAGCCACAACCTCACTCTGGGGGCTGAGCAGCTCCAGAGACTGGAGATTCTGGGCTCTAGAGGGCAACACATAGAAATATGAAACGTCAAAAGAGCCTGGTTCAGAACAAAATCTCACAAACCCCAGAAAAAGGACCAAATGAAACTGAACTCACCAATCTTCCTGAAAGAGAGTTCAAAATAAAAATCATAAACATGCTTATGGAGGTACAGAAAAATATTCAAAACTCAGGAATTACTTTAAGACAGATTCAATCATTGAGAAATTCCATATCTGAAATGAGACATACAGTGGAGGGATTTAAAAGCAGATTGGATATAGTAGAAGAGACATTAAATGAAATAGAAATTAGAGAAGAGAAATGAATACAAAGAAGCTGAGACACAGAGAGAAAAAAGGATCTTTGAGAAGGAAAGAATACTGAGAGAACTGTGTGACGAATACAAATGGCAAAATATTTGTATTATGGGGGGGTACCACAAGATGAAGAGAGAGAAAAAGGGATAGAAAGTGTCATTGAGGAGATAATTGCTGAAAACTTCCCCAATCTGGGGAAGGAGATACTCTCTCAAGCCATGGGGGTGCACAGATCTCCAACCACAAGAGACCCAAGGAGACAATATCAAGACATATAATGATTAAAATGGCAAAGATCAAGGATAAAGACAGACTTTTAAAGCAGCTAGAGAGAAAAGAAAAGATCACATACAAAGTAAAACCCATCAGGCTATCATCAGATTTCTCAACAAAAACCTTTCAGGCCAGATGGAAGTGGCATGATACATTTAATGCAATAAAGCAGAAGGGCCTCAAACCAAGAATATTCTACCTGGCAAGGTAATTATTTAAATTTGAAGGAGGGATTAAACAATTTTCAGATAAACAAAAGCTGAGAGAATTTACCTCCCACAAACCACCTCTACAGTGCATTTTGGAGGGACTGCTATAGATGGAAGTATTCCTAAGGCTAAATAGATGTCACCAGGGGAAATAAAACCACAGCAAAGTAGAACAATTAATTACTAAGCAGATGCAAATTCAAATCAACTACCCCCAAAATCAGTCAAGGGATAGACAGAGAGTACAGAATATGACACCTCACATGTAAAGAATGAAGGAGGAAGGAAAAGGAGGAGAAAAAAAGAACGTTTAGGTTGTGCTTGTAATACTGTATGAAGGGAGTTAAATTAGAATACTAGATAGCAAGGGAAGTACCCTTGAGCCTTTGGTAACCACGAATCTAAAGCCTGCAATGGCAATAAGTACATACATATCAATAATCACCCTAAATGTAAATGGACTGAATGCACCAATCAAAATACACAGAGTCACTGAAAGGATAAAAAAACAAGACCAGTCTATATGCTGCCTAAAAGAGACTCACTTCAAACCCAAAGACATACACAAACTGAAAGTTAAAGGGATGAAAAAAGATATTTCATGCAACTAATAGGGAGAAAAAGGCAGGAGTTGTATCGGATAAAATGGACTTCAAAACAAAGAAAGTAGGAAGAGACAACAAAACAAAGAAAGTAAGAAGAGACAAAAAAGGACATTACATAGTGATAAAGGGGTCAATCCAACAACAAGATATAACTATTATAAATATCTATGCACCCAACACAGGAGCACCTACATATGTGAAACAAACAGTAACAGAATTAAAGGGGGGAAAAAGAATGCAATGAATTCATTTTAGCAGATTTCAAGACACCACTCACTCCAAAGGACAGATCAACCAGACAGAAAATAAGTAAAGAGACAGAGGCACTGAACAACATATTAGAACAGATGGACCTAATGGACATCTACAGAATGCTCCATCCAAAAGCAACAGGATACACATTCTTCTTAAATGCACATGGAACATTTTCAAGAATAAATCATATACAAGGCCACAAAAAGAGACTGAGTGAATTTAAAAAGACTGAAATTATACAAACCAGCTTCTCAGATCACAAAGGTATGAAACTAGAAGTAAATTACATAAAGAAGACAAAAAAGCCCACAAACACATGGAGGCTTCAGAACATGCTCC